CTTGGTATCTCGGCGATCAATTCCTGCAATCGCGACTCTCTTTGTTATACCGACAATTCTCCACAATGCCTCTGAAGTTTGCCGACAGAGACCGCGATAGCCGCGAAATAACGGGCTTAGTGGATACCACGATGTTGGTATATCCACGTGTTTCGTCGAAATTCCGTTGTAAAAATATTTTCTTACGGAAGATACGCGCTTTTTATCTGACAGTGCGCAAATTAATATTAAAATTAAAACTATTAATACTAAAAAAATATAGCCTTGGCCATAAGTATGAAATAATTTATTGCATTTTCTTGACAAAGGCAGTAATAAGAGCCAAAAGAAGACTAACAAAATATCAAAATTATTATAAAAATAAATATTGTTTTTTAATAAAACTGATTTTTAATTTATTTGAACTATAGAACGTTTATGTTAATTTGTGGGGATACTTATGGCCAAGATTATATTTTGAATTGTATAATTAAATATATGAATCATATTTTCAATTACAATAAATTTTATTAAAGCATTAATGCTTCATTTCACATTCATTTATATTTACAATGCAAATGTAAACACTTATATTACATCGTGCATAAGAGCGAGGTGTATTTATTTTATTTTATCTTTGATATAATATGCCACTGAAAAAAGTAATCTTGCAATTATAGCGAGAATTATTTAGATACGAAAAATTATCTAAAACGGATAAGTGATTAGTAAGCACTGCGACACTACATATGTTTTGTATTTAATCAATATAGATAACAGAGACATAAATTATATCTGAACTATTTGTCAAATTTAGCAAAAAAGTTTCTCTATGCCGTTTAATCAGTCCAAACTCCAATCCAGACTACAATCATATTTAGTTATGATATATTTTCTTGTATATATTCTTAGAATATTGCTGCTAAAAATTCTACGTGTGACAGACAATTTTTTAGCAGATACAAAAAGCAGCGATATAATTTAAATGTAATATTTAGAATTCTAGCTGGAACAGCGAAACATTTCCCTGAGTGTATAAGTAAAGTAAGAAGTAAGTGACTACATGTAAGGGGAAATAAAAGAAACAACCGCGTCACATTTATTCTCGATATCTCTTTCGCGTGTATCTCAGAACACACATTTTCAACAATCTAAATCAGATTTTTCCTCAGCGAGTTAGCAACATATTTCGAGTTATAACAAAGCTTTTCCAACTAAATTTTTCTTTAACACGATAATTAAATAGAGAAACTCCCAACACTCAGGGAAATGTTTCGCTGTTCCAGCTGCAGGAATTCTAAATACTACACTTAAATTACATCGCTGTTTTTTTGTATCTGCTAAAAAATTGTCTGTCATACCTAGAATTTATAGCAGCAATATTCTAAGAATATATACAAGAAAATATTGGTCTCATAACCAAATATGATTGGAGTCTGGATTTGGAGTCTGGACTGATTAAACATCATAGAAGAACTTTCTTGCTAAATTTGACAAATAGTTAAAATGTAATTTCTCTCTCTATTATCTATATTGATTAAATACAAAACATATGTGGTATCGCAGTGCTTACCAATCACTTAGCCGTTTTAGCTAATTTTTCGTACCTAAATAATTCTCGCTATAATTACAAGATTACTTTTTTCAGTGAACACAACGATCGAGATTGGATCTTGCTTAATATATTTTTATGTAAATTCTAAATTCTAACAAACTTGCAACGCAGTCGTAAATTTTTCTTTATCTAACGAAGGACACATAAAACTTTCGTCGAGAGAGAACGCAAAGATCAGTCGGGAAAGATAGTCATACGTTCGCTCGGAGGAAGCGATTCGTATTCGTATATGCTTCAAAGCGCACGTTGCGTTAAGTTTCACACGCGACTCGCATGGCGTCGAACGGACGAACAGACGGACGGGTCGTCGGCGTTACAATGGAATAAACCGAGAAATAAAGCCCGGGGAGTACAATGCGTGACGTTGTTACGTCCTCGTAGATTACATTACATACGCGGCGACCCCGAAGCTCGTCACCCCCGGAGCGCGAAAGACAGAAGGGCACCGACGACGAGGTGGAGGGGGAGGGGGAAGGGGGTGGTCGGCGCGCGGCTTTTGCGGAGCCTTATCAATATTATCAGTGGACGTCGCGCACGGTGCGCGGCGGGGAAGGTGCGAGAGAGAAGGAGCCGACGGATGGGACTAACCGGGACGACCGGAGGGGGTGATCGCGGTGGGTGACTTCGAGTGGGGATACGCAGGCGCCGTGAACAACCAGACCCTTCCCCCTCCCCTCCCCCACGTTACGTACCGACGTCGCCGGCGTCGTCGTCGTCGCCGTCGCCACCGCCACCGCCGCCACCACCGCCGCCGCCGCCGCCGCCGCCGTCGAGAGAGAGAAAGAGAGAAAGAGTGAGACGTCGACCCGTCTCGCGCCTCCTCTCGCGTTTTCAGTTCTCCGACCGAACACACGACGGCGACTCGCCAAAACCACGCGAGACGAACTCGGGTCGAAGCGACGGAGAGTATCCGCGTCCGCGGGCATCGCGACGTCGTATTCGGCGACCCAACTCGCGTTGCCGAACCCCAGTCGAAGGGACGCCTCGCGGACGACACCTCGTGTGCATCGGTGCTACACGGGGGTGAGGGAGGGCTACAAGCACGCGGCGCGGAGCAACAGTGTTCGGCGGCCTTCCTCTGGAGTGCGTCGGCCGGAGACGGAGCAGGGGGCGAACCCGGGTGTCACCACCGACCGAACGACCGACCGACCGACCGAGGACGACCCGAGAGGGTCGAGGAGCCAGCGAGAGGTCAGCGAGAGGGCATCGTGTCTCTCTTTCTCTCTCTCTCTCTGGGATTCGGTCTACCGACCCGCGGAAGGCGTGGTGGGTCGTTCGCGTGCGTTCATCCGACTGCATAGAGATAGCACAGTTACGAAAACCACGTGAAGCGTGGGACTGACAGTGAGATGTGTAAATCAGAGTATCAGTAAGATCTGTGCGTGACAAAATCGGAAACAGACGAGGGAGAGAGTGTACGCGAGGGAAAACGTGACTTTACCCCGCGGTTTATTATGCGTTACCTGAAAACCTTGACCGATCCCTTGACAGCGTTCTTCACGGTGACGATCTGATCATCATGCTCGTCCATCGGTGAGACTCGTCGAGCAGCGTGGAGACGGAGGATTCTACGTGCAGGCTCGACGTGGCTGCATGAACCGCGGGATATCCCAAGAGGGATCGCGACAACCGCGGTGGTCGGGCATGGTCGCGGAGGATGAGGAAGAAGTACAAAAATAGCTGTCCCCGTGGTTGACCGGAGATGCACAGCTGACCAGCCACGTCGGAGAGGAAGAGAGAGAGAGAGAGAGAGAGAGAGAGAAGAGTGAGAGCGAAAGAGAAAGGAAGAGAAAGAGTGAGACACACACAAGGGAAAGAGGGAGCGAGTGCCGGACGTTCGATTAGGCGCTGGCGAGCGTCGCGATTCGCGTCGGGACGCGACCGGAGGGGAATCGATCCGATCGCGGATTGCATTTCCACATAAACTCGACTGCAAACCACACACATACACACACACACACACACACACATACACTCACACACACCACGTGCCTTTTACCGTTCGTTGTAACCCGCGGTTGGACGCCTATCATCCCGGAGAGAAATCGCGACGCCTTTCCGCCTCCCTTCGTATCGGAGATCCGTCGACTCGTCGAGCGAAATCGAGCCCGTCCCCTCTCCCTGACGAAGGCCTTCTCGTTCGAGCACACGAGCGATTGAACGACGAAACACACGTCGTGGAGATGTCCGAGCCATGCGCCTCTCCGGGATTACCGCATTCCGCGACCGCGGCCACCGCGAGGCCTGACCTCGATCCCACGAGGTCGAACGAAGTTCGCGATTATTACGTAGGAGTGCCTGTGGTCAGAAACGTGAACTCCCGGAGGATCGAAGCCTCGAGGCTGTTGACCCGCATCGCGACGCCACCACGTTGATGTTACACGATTACCGTATTATAGGGCGCTCGATCGCAAATTAAATCGACCGCGAGATAAATCGGCGCGCGCGCGCGCGCGCGTCAGATTTTACCGGGAACAACGAGAATCGGCAATCGGAGAACGATATGAGACGTTGCCGACGGGAGAGAGGACAGATCGCTTCGCGGACGGACGCTGCCGGCGAGCGACGAAGGCATTGTCGTAGCTTCTTCTTCTTCTTCTTCTTCTAAATCAACAACGACAGGCGTGGAAGTTCCGCGCGGAATTATCGCCCCCCCCCCCTCAATCACCAACCGCGTCCTGGAAGCCGTAGGAACGCCCGGCTCGAATCCGTATCCTCGCTATATAAATAGGTGTTTCCACGCGCCGCCTGAGACACACGCACATCGGAAGTGACAACGCGTGCACACGTGCGACACGTATGCCGGCCGTTCGACAAAGTGGGACCGACCTTCCCCGCGTCCTTGGCTCGACGGCAGAAGGAATCGTCGTGACGCCCCGCGCCGACGATCTTAGACGTATATCTAGATAGACGAGAACTCCGGGTCCAAGACGACGAGCGTCGGCGAGTGGGAGACCAACACATCGAAGTCATTCGCGTGCAAGAAACGCGCAGAAAAACGCAGCCGCGCGCACTTTTTTTTCTCCTCTTTGACAGTCCATTCAGAGATATCGATACCGCCGGAGAACGAGCGAGAGACCAAGAAACAACGACTGCAAACCCGATATTCCTTAAAATAGCGCGCGAGAATAGAGAAGCACCCTGGACCCAAGACTCTCCTCCTCGTTCAGCCTTGCGTCGCCCTGCAGGACCACTAAGAATACAAGGCGAAGGAAGTAAATAGAATAAACGGATGCACACCGCGCCGATCCGCGCTGTTGTCGTCCAATTCGCAGCAACGAAATCTTTCCTTTTCCCTCACGCGAACGTCAGAAGTCGCAGTTACATCACACTCCTGGTCTTATTACACTGGCTGATCATTATGCTCAACTCATGCTGTGCTCTTTTCTACCGTGCTCGTGCATTGTACGCCGCGAGTGTTTTCCTAGTGCTTTAGTGTTACTTACGCCGATATATTAAATCGAGGAGAGATCGGGCCCGCGGCGCGCGCCCATCGCACGGTCGAACGCGGAAGTCTCGGCTGCCCAGATTATCTGGGAATCCTGTTCCTGAGATGCCTGTTAGACGGGGTCACGTGGCGCCCAGAACTACGATCATCGAAACAATCATCCGGAAGTTTGATACGCACGGTGAGTTTTAGCCGCGAGGAATACAGGAGGGGGGGGGGGAATGTGGTAACAAAGGCCCCGAGATAAAACGGACTAATTAATCGCGACATATTTCAGGATAAAATATCCGCGTTAATAATCGCGTAAAATAATGTCGCGCAAATAATTGTTTCACGTGGCCGACTATAGTTTGCGGTGCGAGTAAAACTATAATTCTACACTGCGGCACAATGTAATCCGCCAGGTTGCGTTTTACGCGACAATATCGATGTCACTGCATAGCATTACGTTAACTAAACAAATTATGATAATGACATTTGTGTTTGTTGCCGATTAATTCAGCAGTTTTACTAACTGCGCTACGTGGTGTGATCGTTAAATCTGACAAAGCGGCTTATTAATGAGCGTAGGGTTGAACACAGAGGGAATATAGCGTTTTATTTAATTATGAGTTTCGTAATACAGAACACTCTGTGTTTTATTACCATCACTCGAGTCAGTATTCAAGATTCGTATACCGCAATATCGTGCAAGCTGGGAATTAATGCGAACGTATTTTATATTAATTCGAAAAGAAAATCGGTGTGTCCTTCTAGGTCACCAACTGACACGATCATTTACATGTAACACGTTCGATTTGCGCCGTTTCGCTACCGCGATCGGTATACTTTGAAGGTCAAGACTAAAAATATATGCCCACTCATCTTCTCAGACAGAACGTGGAAACGTAATCGAAAGTACGAGGGAGTATTGGGGGCGATATGCGGGAACGTGCAGGCATTGAGCCAGAGGTTCATTTTCAATATTATGTAAAACATCCCGACTGCGGTGCAGAGTGGGTATGGAAGAGCTCGGTTAAATGGAGGAAAGGGGGTGGGCTCTATGTCACAATATGGGACAATGCATGTCACTGGCAATATCACTCCAGAAATGCCTCGAGTCCTTGCGAGAGGAGGGGCGCGGCGCGGAGGAAGAGGAAGCTCGAATTGATTGCGAAAAGGAAGAGAGATAGAGAGGTGAAGGGAACACTGACGATTTCTTTTGCATTGTCACGACTTACTGACAAGAATTCTCCTTGACTGGGATTGCTTGTTTAGATAAGAATTTTATGCATTTAAGGCAAGATTAGAAAGAGGCGTACTTTGTAAAATGAGAGATATACATTTTTTTTATGTTTATTGATAACAAAAGCAGAGACACGAATGACCATTTTTATTTATATATAAAAATTACAAAATTGACTTATTCTACAGCTATAAAAAATAACACGATTATAAAGAGGTGTACTTTGTAAAGTGAGGGATATATATTTTTTATGTTTATTGATAATAAAAAAGGAGAGACACGAAAATGACCATTTTTATTTATATAAAAATTAACTTGTGCAACAGCTATAAAAAGATTTAAAGTACGATGCTAAAATGATATCAGTACATGATATTTTGCAATCTATATGAATCAAATCGCACATTTGTTACAGCAACGACATAATTCAAAAAATTACTTTTTGAATTTTTTGCAGAAAAAGAGCGGAAAGAAAGAAAGAACATATTTCTATTCCTCCATAATCAGTTATTATATATCAAAATTGCATTTGAAAATTAATATTACAAAATTTTAATGATTTAAAATATTGAATATCTGGAAAATTTTTTTTTTAAAACTTATTGTTGTTGTAGTTGTTCTTGTTGTAAATGAGCGATATTATATCTGAATATATAGAGCACTACATTATAGTTCAAGGTTAACTGATTGAATTATTAGGTGGTAAGAGAATTATTTCATATTTATGGTACGATATTATCGTGTGACTGACGAAAACGCGATACGTGACACAATGAAACTCATTGCCATAACGAAATGCTAATATATGCGTTTGCGCGTAGTTAATATCGGATTTTTTTTTTAATTTGCAAAGAAATTTGCGTTTCTCAGTTAATATGGAATATTACAAATATTCGCCGAGGAAAGCAACTTGAAAAATTGTTCTTTTACGCGTTTTAATATTTCTAAATATTACGTTCTATTTTAATTACATTTTTCTTAACTAATATATCTTGATTAGATTATACTGAGAGATGCACAAGCCCCATCAGCAATTTAAATACGATTCTGCAAATTACATCCTCTTAGTTACGAGCTTTCTCTCTCTCTCTTTTTCCTCAGAGACCAGCTGAAATTAAATCCTTCAAAAAGACTGCAGAATTCCTTGAATAGAGGATTGTATGTAGCTTACACCGAATAAGACTGTATACTGGTTTTGTTTTTATTTCTGTATTTCTTATTTTTTTGTCCACACATTCTATTGTGTAGGAAAAAAATTAAAAATACGAAAATAAATATAAAAAAGATTATTTGGATATGTAAATTTGGATAATATAATATATTTTAAACAAGAAATTTTCTGTCCGGATTTTTTAATTATTATAAATGGACTGGTAACGAATCATGTTTACTAGGAGAGAAATTCCACGAAATCAAATACCGCAAATACTGCACTGACCACAGTAGAGTTAAAAGGATAGTAGTGTAATTGGATAATCTCGGAATGCGGGTATTTCCGTGCGTTTTCCGCGAAACAGGATTTTTTTTATCACGAATCAAAAATCGCAAATCTATGAAATTGGCTCCCTCGCTATGGATTTGAGAAAAATTCTTCGGTTCACTTAATTTGATAAACGACGCAGCAGTAAGTAATGTCGCGGCAATTAAAGTGAATGACATTAGTCTCCAGTTTAATCGTTAAATGAATGACCGTAATTCGATGAGATTACGTCTAACGGAGGTGTCAAGTTTACTGGCACACGATAGAAAAGTGAGGCACGTAACGTGATTGGATAACGATTCCACGTATTGGATTTCCAGCATCGGTTCAACAACTTCTGCAGGATTGCGACGGCCGATTTCTTTGCAAGACTAAATTTATCCTCAATACTCATTTCTCTCTAATTCTCAATAAAGCAAATATTGAACTTCTCTTAATTCACATTACACTTAATTATATTTTTTCTCTTATTACAAATTATACTTTTATTATATTTCTTATTGCAAATTAATAGTTAAATATAACGATTAATTATTGTAACAATTCAATATCGAAAATTGAAAAGATTTTACCTGCAGGCGAACTTTAGTTGAGGAAAGATTAGGTGGCTCTCAGAGATATATCGATAAATTTAGACATACATAGTCGCAAAACGGCTCTCTCATGTGCAAAATATTGCGGAAACAGGTTCGAGAAACTGACGTTTATCGCGAGAGCGTGTCTCGCATACATTTCTTCGATCTCTTATATTCTTCAAAGAGCACTTCGCGTGTCAATGCTCCGATAGTAACATTCTTCAAGTTCATTCATTATTCACTCCTTTCCGCGCGATTCGCCGAACATCCATGGGGAAAGTTTTCGTGTGACGAAATCACAAGCTCGGACGGTTTCACCCTGCGGCAAGCGCGAGGGAGGGTGCGTGGTAATAGGCATTAACGCGATAACTTCTCTCCGGAGGGAAGACCTTCGTGCGCCAATTTATGTAATAAAAAATATGTATGTGTGCCAGTCAAGCCGTGGCTTCTAATCTGACGTCTCCTCTACGAGCAACGACTGTCCGTCCCCGGCACGCGCGTTTACCCTTTTTTTTTCCTTTTCCACTCCAGCCTCTCCCGCCACCGCTTACCACCGCTTGCCACCGCTTGCCGACCTGACGACCCTTACGACAGATCGCTCCACGTGTACTCGATATTCTTCACCTGTCCTCTTGAACGGTAATCGAATACGACGTCGCCCCGGACCGATCCATCTTCCGTCGCGACGCACGGGTCGTATCGTGATATCATATCGCAAAAAAAAAAAATTAAACAATTTGAAGGATACATAGGAAAATCGACGCGATGTCAATCCGCTGACTTCCTCTGTCGAAGGCCAAGATTAGCAGATTCCTTTCTTCCCGCAATTAAACGGTCCAGCTCGAATCTGCCTTTTTTTATCTTATACGTCCCGTAACAATACATTTGACTTTTTTCTCGACAATAGGATGGTTCTGCGAACTCGTAGAATTTGTGAAAGTTTGAAATAGAGTCGCGTCTCTTCGACCTTTATATTAAAAAGGGCATTCACACTCCGCGTCAATGTCTCGACACTGATATAAAAGTCTAACTCGTTTTACGAACTTCGCGCTGTCCTCCGTCTACAGAGAGAACGATCAAAACCGGAAAGAACAAGGTAGATCTGATAGATGATCATTATGCATTCTGAATATCGTTAAAATTTATTTTCAACAGGATTACGGGATATAATGCTTAACGATCTCGCATTTCGCGACGTTAAATGATAATAAATGGGTGGTTTTCTTAGAAAACATTTAAATTATAAAATCGATAAGGTATTGCTTGTAAATTGCAATTAAATTGCTGTATTATAGAATGCCGTGTCCGTTGCACGTTGGATATATCGTTCGAATGTGCTATGCGTGTCAAGGACACGCCAGGTTCGTTCGGCAGACATCCCGGAACGCACGCGGAACACGACGGCGGATGGAAAACGAAACCGATAACGAGTGGTACCGGGAACCTGGCACGAGCTTCTCTTTTCGTGTACGAAGCTATTAAAAGTCGACAATTGCGACTGCGGCGCTTAGAGTTTTTTCTATCTCTCTTTCTCTTTCTCTCTTTCCAATATTTCGCCGATAGCGAGCCTCGTCGCTGTTCTTTATCACGACAAGCTACTTAATCTCAGGGGACAATAAATGGCAATCTGCCATCCCGATTTGTCGACAGAAGGCAATAGATATGCTGTCACTCACGAGAATTGCGTTCGCGTGTTCACGGTCAACTCGAGCCGGGCGGTAGTGCGTGATTTATTTCGGTTATTGTGCGTTCTGCAAATATATACGTTGCTTTTTGTGTCATATTGTTCATATAGTTTATAACAGCCAAATTTATTATCGGAATTATATTAAATTGGTTAAAGCATTTCACGTATTTTAATTGCCGATATAATTCGTCTTTTCTTAATTTGTAATAATTAA